TTTGGTACGTTTGAAGTATGCGTATTTGGTAAATTTGAAGTATGCATATTTGGTACGTTTGAAGTATGCGTATTTGGTACGTTTGAAGTATGCGTATTTGGTACGTTTGAAGTATGCATATTTGGTACGTTTGAAGTATGCGTATTTGGTACGTTTGAAGTATGCGTATTTGGTAAATTTGAAGTATGCATATTTGGTACGTTTGAAGTATGCCTATTTGGTAAATTTGAAGTATGCATATTTGGTAAATTTGAAGTATGCATATTTGGTACGTTTGAAGTATGCATATTTGGTACGTTTGAAGTATGCGTATTTGGTACGTTTGAAGTATGCGTATTTGGTACGTTTGAAGTATGCGTATTTGGTAAATTTGAAGTATGCATATTTGGTACGTTTGAAGTATGCGTATTTGGTAAATTTGAAGTATGCATATTTGGTAAATTTGAAGTATGCATATTTGGTACGTTTGAAGTATGCGTATTTGGTACGTTTGAAGTATGCATATTTGGTACGTTTGAAGTATGCGTATTTGGTACGTTTGAAGTATGCGTATTTGGTACGTTTGAAGTATGCGTATTTGGTACGTTTGAAGTATGCGTATTTGGTACGTTTGAAGTATGCGTATTTGGTACGTTTGAAGTATGCATATTTGGTACGTTTGAAGTATGCGTATTTGGTACGTTTGAAGTATGCGTATATGGTACGTTTGAAGTATGCATATTTGGTACGTTTGAAGTATGCGTATTTGGTACGTTTGAAGTATGCGTATTTGGTACGTTTGAAGTATGCGTATTTGGTATGTTTGAACAAAGACATTAGATTGTCTTTGGTTTGAAGTATTAAGTATGCGTATTTGGTTCGCTAAAGCGGAGGACTCGTCACCTGCGCATGCGTCAGATGACCATAGCGTGTCATTGCATTGACGCTGCAGGTCGTCGTCTTCTACACCATTTGTGCTGGGACAGCGCTTCCGGTGACGACACAGCGGTGTCATTGTTTACAAACAAGCGTCTACTCATGAACCTTTGCGTTTTAACCGTGTGTTGTTTTCGTCGCTTGGGACTCAATTCCGCGCGCGTGCGCAGGTGACGACCTTCCCGCTTAAAGTATGCGTATCTGGTACCTTGGAATTATCCATAATTATCATCGGACAAATACAAAATTTGGACACTGGTTTTTATGGTGGGATTATTTTTTCAAACTAGTATCTCAATTTTATGCTTGCTAACACGGGATGAGTCATATTATTTACTGTATATACGAATCATATACATGTATACTGAAAACACTGACGCATAATTCAGTCAGTTTGCAATATGCTACCAGTTCTCCATTATACTAGTATACCATACGAATGTTTTGTCCATAATGCATTGCATATATGCGCAGTAATATGCTCAGGAGTACAAAACTTGAATTCACCTCAAACTGCCTTAAATTTAGACTATTTAATTTGTAATTTGATGGGAAGGTGTAAACATGGTACATATGCAGTGTACTAGTATATCAGATAGACAAATGATTTGTCTTGTCGAGTTTGGAAAGCGTGTGCATTCTCTGATGACATATTAGCCTATAAATATTATACAATATAAAATGCTGTAAAGTTCAAGAATTGTTCCGAACGTTGTCAAAAAGACGGCATCCCTCCCGCGAAGGGGAAATTAACTAATGTTCTCTGTCTAATAACTTGAATGAAAACATCGCGCACCAAATCTAGTGATTAAATAAAACACTTTTCAGAAAATTCAATTTTCTAATGTGCAAACATTGGGTCCTATGGCCGATATATACAATATGGGGCTAAAATGAACTGTTCTGGGCGTCGTGAAAAAGACGTCGCCCCTCCGTGAAGTGCAAAGAAATGTGCAACTTTTCAAGACATTGACATATCAAACCTAATCTTTCATCAAGATACTTTCCACCAATTCCAATTTCCAAGGCACTTCCCAGATGAACGATGAATCAGAATAATTACAACTACTTAAAGAATTACACATAATTTTTTCCCGCAGTCCAGCCTCGTTGATCAGTACAGATAGATGTATCTCCCTGATCAGTACAATGATGGAGCTAAAAAAAAAAAACATGGTACAATGAACTCTTATAGCTAGCGCCCTCTATACTGATTATTTACCTCCCACACTACATTGCAACTTCCTTTCCGCCATTACTGAATAACAAGGTAGGATGGAAAGTGTTGAATGTTGCTTGAATCTGTCACCATCGCCAGAATTCCTGAAAATAAAATACTTTCATGTGGATAGAAATGACGCCTAGCTTTTTAGCCTTCATAATATTCTGTTTTTGTTGTTTCACAAAAGATGCATTAAAGTAATTTTATCGGGTGTACAAACGGTGTCGCTGTTCAAGTTCCTGCATATATATTCGACTACAAGCATGAAACTGGGATTACTTCATTGATGTTCATCCAAATCCTGTTTGAAAAAAAAGCCATGAAATAACCTTGTTGTTCATCTAAAACACGAGTTGATCGATTGGCCTTTTGGAAACGATAAAACGCACTTGCGTTCGCTGATGAGGCCAGTCTTCTGATCGCAAATGTAGTACGGTTACTCCCGATAATAAGGCCAAATAAAAAATAAAGACGCGTGGTTCCAAAAGCCCTATCCCACCTCAAATTGACTGCTTACCGTAAAAATATATGGGGGGTGCCTAAGGCTATAAAGGAAACCACCGACAATCGGGTGTTCATCTCAGATTAATCTCAATAGAAAATGCTTCACATTAATATATCAAAGCATGACACTTTCTCGTGATAGCTATTTTGTATTCAATGCATTAGACTGAGCCACAGTCGGATAACAAAGGTGTTATTAGTTATCTGTATATGCTTTGAGAGAAAAAAAATGCTTGGGAATACATGAATTGGTGTGGTTGTGCTGTAATGTTATAGTTTGCAACTCGCTTTGCATGTTGACATGCAGGTAACATTACATCTAAAACTGCATAGTTCTATTGTAGTGCTCCTTGTAACATTTTATTTATTTTTTCATGGAAAATTATACAAGATGTCTTGGTGTTGTCAAGGATGGTTGCTTTGTGTATTTTTATAGGTACAACATTTTACCATCACTGTATTTCTTTCATATAAACAAAGCCCTTGATGTACATCTAGTTTATAATTGATGCCTGTAAATGATGTAATTGTCATTCATATTGATACTGTCACTTTTTGCACTTGTTTATTTGGTTCATGATAGAAAACGTTAGTAAACATGTATATCTGTTGTCAGGTTTTATTTATGCTTATTCATTTTTCAGATGGCCAAGAAGGGTGATAAGAAGAAGGGCCGTTCCACTATGGACGATGTAGTCACTCGTGAATATACGATACATTTGCATAAGCGAATCCATGGAATGTAAGTATTATGATACAGTACTGTAAACAGATTTAATTTTGTGAGAGTCAAACTGTGCAAATTTCATGAAATGCAAAAATTGTGTAAATTTCTAGCATTGACAATTCAACTGTTAACAGTAAACTAACCGTAGTCTAAAAAATGCACACTCTGGTAAAATGCATGTTATTAGTGTTTTGCTGTCTGTACATAAGTGTGTGCGAGATGCAGGATGATATTGATATATTGGTAATCTAGGAAAACGAATGATTTATAACTGAATTCAGCCTTAGTAAAAGTAGAACGTTTTTCATTTCTTGGTGTAGGAAGAAAATGTAATTGGAACTAAATTTAACTACTGATAAGTCGAAAAAGTTTTCTGTTAACTCAAATTTAGCAACTGTTGGCTTTTAAATAAAGCACTCACTATGATGACGAAGTGTCCGAACTGATGCAACAGCAAATGTGGCTCAATGTTTACCAAGTCTGAGTGATGTGTAACTAGTATGTGATTTGTATTAGTTCAGTAGATGTTCTGTGGTATTAAATTTGAGAAAAGTAATGAGAAATACCAGCAAATCAATGCATTTGAATACTTTTAACCATTGGGGTAATCACCTCCATGCTTTTATGCACAGTATGGTGCTTCAAAGGTGAATGCTGTCATTTTTACAATGGTTAGGAGAACTGTATACATACTCAATGTTATTATCTTTGTTTTTGGCAGTGGTTTTAAAAGGAGAGCACCTCGTGCTGTGAAAGAAGTTAGAAAATTTGCTGAAAAGATGATGGGCACTCCAGATGTGCGAATTGATACAAGATTGAACAAACATGTCTGGTCCCAAGGAGTAAGGTGAGTTATAAAGTACTGTAAAAATTATTTGGTAATTTTGACCACTATTGACTAATTAGTTTTAGAATACAAAATGGCTGAATAGAGTAAAAAATCGTGATTGCAATAACATTTGATGCCATACTTTCTTTGTCATTTGTTAGTTCCTGTTTGGACCTCTTTATGTCCGTGCGTGATTCCAGATCGGATTCAAAATGGCTGACTGGTGGCCATATTGTTTTAATGAATGCAATTCTAGAGCAATATTTCTGAGATGCTTTGACG